CCTAAAATGACAGAAATACAAAGGTAGCGATTAGATTTGCCTAGTTAGGTTGTCGGCACTTATGTCGTGTCGATACCATTGAAACCATTTTGTTGTAGGGTAGCGTAAAAAGGCTGTGACGGAACCCGAGGCAACTTCATGAATGAAACAAATATACATATATTGAAATAGTTTTCCTATCTAAATGCTGTTAGCAGTAGATGAATCTAAGAGCCGTTCAGTTGGGGTAAAGCAAATGTACCTATCTCGAAAATCTATATAAACTAGTCTGTTAGTGTCCATATCAGCGTTAGCAGGTGGGCCTACTGTTTATTTGTGATGAAGTATACTTATGATGAAACAGAAGAGCAAGCCTTAGATAATCAGGTCAAGATAGGCATGCCTAAAAGAGCATGTTAAACTATGCTATTCTAACTGGCACGATTTTACATGATGCTACACGCTTAAGCATTAGAATATTCACAGATTGATATAGTTGCGAATTCTATTATACATATATATATATATATAAGCAGTATATAAGTATATAAAAGGCGGTAATGAGCAATCATCATTGCTTATTCAGGGACCTCGACTGAGCTGAGTAGCGAGTAGAATCCCTTCACAAAGAAACTGACCCACTTGTTGGAACCGAAATTTATTGGCGACATGTTTAGAGACTGCATCATCTATAACTATAGTTACCGAAAAATCACGAGACCGCGGCTGGCGATGATATCGGGACTCGGGGTAGTCATTCCTTTCTAAATCTGATGAATGGAAAAATACATACAAATATAGGACTTATTGTAAATTAAAATAGGGCATCGGCGGTAATCGAAAGGCGAAACCTTCCTGCGTCTCGGTAGAATATATTATGTTAATCAAGTACTTGCTCCTACTTATAAGTACCATTGCGAACTGCTTCGGTTGCGCCACATATCTCATGTTTGGGCGTAATGGTTGAAAAGCCAAAGGGGTTGCAAGTGGGCGCTTTCGAATGCGTTGCTGGACTATGGACCTGTATATTCCGTTTGCATTAAGCATCCAACCATATCATTGCCATCGTTGTAATATTAGTGTAAAAAATAGAAAGATGCAAAATGGAGACGTTGATAGCAGATGGTATAGACCATGCGCTTCGCTATTTCCGGCACACGAAACGGCAATAGTTGGTATAACCTGATTTCCGATGGCAATAGGTAAGCCGGGTAAGAATAAAACGGTGCACACACTATACCTCTTGAGGGAAATCAGTGACTCTAAAATTTATAGTCCTTTAGCTAGTGTCAAGCACGATTGTAGAAATGGTACAACGATCACACTGGGAGTAAAACTCATTCGCGACGTCACCGATTCTCATTGTAGACTAGTAGTTTTCCTCAAATGGCATCTAAACGTTTACCAAAATATTACGGCAGAAGTTCCGGTGAGAAATGATAGCCCTCGGATTACGAATCAAGTGGCTCAAGTTCTCGACACGTTTCTCGGATAGAATGTTGAGCGTTACGCCGTTGGTGAAACGATCCTGAGGGAGAAATAACTTACGATGCAATAACCTCCGTTCTACATATTTGTCCTTCGCTCATGATAAGAAATGGCTTCGACATTTCTAGGATACGGTGTACCATTTAGATGTGGATATCAAATAAAAATTACCATTAAAAAAACTAGCGATAACAATGCCGAAACCGCTGTTTCCGCAAAAGAATAGTTATAATGAAATCTGGGAAAGTGGGCTTGTAGCAACCCAGAAGTAGGTTTACCCGTTATGTAGAATGTATATTTTCTTTTGCTGCTGAAGCACTTTTTGTGCCAATACCCTATTAAGTTCTATTCACCGAAGTGCAATTATTATAAAGGCCTTAGCTCGTCGGCAAGCCTTCGCAGGCCTTGTCAGTAACTATAATTTTAATGGAAACTTGAGGATATGCTATGAAATTTACAAGATATGCGAGATGATTGCTTACAGGTATATTGCTTTGATACCTTCCAACCTGTCTCCTCTTACTAATTTAAGTATTCGCGAGAAGATTTACTCAATTATATAGACCCCTTCAACTTCAGCAAACACTTGTATGTGGATTTTGGTTTTTATGTTTTTCAACGATTTTATTACGACTCCATATCATTGTAAGGTGCCCTATCGTGAGTAAACATTTCTACTCAAGAAGATGTTCTAATAGTGAGCGGGTAATTTTCTGAACAACGAAGTTCACTTGGTGCTATGCGGTAGTACGTACTGTATCAGTATGCAATGGCAAACTGTTCCGCGACTCATCTGATCTGATTTGAAGAAGTTCGGGAGCGCTTCAGTCAATCCGTTGCAGTGCTCATGAAATCTCCAGGGTCTGCATAGAAATCTGAAGTAGCCCTACGCAGATTTCAGATTTGACTTCTTATGACGTATTCGATCTCCTCTCATTTGTGTAATTATAGCGAAATATTTCACTAACGATAGTTACGTCATTTGATGAACGGTACGCAGTGAACTGTAAATACGTAAGACGGTAAAACCGACCAACATGATCGATCTTAACCTGTTACTTATAGGCATATGTTGAAATTATTGCTTGTACATTAGTCAGACGACCTGTGTTGATAATACCGCTCAGTTAAATGGGATAGATAGAAAAATTGAAATAGCTTGTTTAAGTATTATAAAGCTTGCGGGTAATTCAACATTATTGAAAAACAATTTGGTTTCGACTTAACAATAAAAGTAATAAATATAAATATTAGATTGTAGACAATTGAGTAGGCGAACAAACTATTTCTAGGTTCTAGGTTTATAAGACTACGTTTATACCATATATAGATGATGATTATATTAGCAATAATGTTCAACTTATTGATATCGGACAACGTCTGCGTTCGCCCTAAGACCTGTGTATTTTTTGAAGAAATTTCAACGCATTTACCGTACCTGTTGTGAACAAAATTTGGAGGCACGAAAAAGTCAAAAACCAGTCGACACAAATTCTCTGGAAACATAATTAAGATAACAATAGCTCCTTAAAAAACCTCTACGTTCGCTTGGTAGGTCCGTTAAATAGGTATGATACTTTCAAATAACGATAGACCTAAAGCTTCAAGTAAGGGTCTATTTTTTGGCGACATTTCCCAAATAAGCGTAATTTGCCTATATTTTCAGTTTGCGGCAAAGGTTTAATTGATAGTAAATGGGAAACGACTCCACCCGTAATAATGCAGATACGAAACTGATACCTAAACACATTGCATTGATGTGCCGGAAAAAAAAGGAAAAGCCGGAAAGTTATACCCTTAAACTGGAAAAATTGTATTAAAATTGAACAAAAAAAAATTTCGCTCTCTGGAAGTCTGGGTGGCAATAGGCCTAATTCGCGGATTTTAGCCAGGCGAAGCTTGATGGCAGTCTCAACGTTTGCTAATGGCTACATGTGTCAACACCTAACAAATATTAGAATATTACTTGTGCGACAGGTTGACGAAAATCAAGTAGTTCGCACCTATGTTAAGGCACAATCAACTATCCTCTATCGTAACCTATTTTTTGTGCCTCTGTTGCAGCTGGTTAGAGGCCGACTGCCGTAACTAGCTTTGGAATTGATGCAGAAATAGCCACCGCGTCTCAGATCATACTTATCTGCAGAGGTCGACGATAGAGAAGTCAATCGAACATGTCAGATTGAAATAGCATAAGACTGTATCCTGGAAAATTTACCTGCAGCTTCGTTATGGAAATCTCAATCATTACCTAAGGGCAGTATAATCCTGTATTTGTTCAGGCTGTGAAATTGATATTGAAAGCCAGGCAAATAAATTATCGGGTAACACATCGTCTATCGCTACTCGTGCTTTTCTCCCGGATATCTATGCTCATTTATATAGATCGCGCGCTTAGATTATGAGGACAGCCCTTTCCTCCTATCGGATGATGTCAACTAAAAGGTCATCGTGTTTGTGCACGCAGCCGCCGATAACCTGAACTTGTCTATCGAATTGGCTTGCCGCAATATATAGGTGAAAAATATTACAACGATCATTGCCTATAGCTAACACAAATATAGCGGTAGAACATTTGTTAATTGAAAAATGTTACACCATAGACAACGTATACTAGGTTACGGCTGATCCACCGTTGCAGGCTACGGTCGGTCACTTCGGGGCGTAAACTAACTGGCTACGACCTCATCTGTCAGACGTATTCGCCGTCGTCTTTGTATGGAATTAATTGGTCGGTCGTAGTGGTAGAAACAGACACGATTTGATGTTTCGCAATTGTTGCGCGAATACTGCTGCCGCTGGTACTATTCGTTGACAGTGAAGGAAACGGAAGCCTTCATCGGGTATCGTACCGTTGCGTTCGTGGACCGCGAATCACCACAGTGATAGGCATAGAACTGAAACCGGAAAGTGAAGCTGCGCGTCCTTTCCATTTGTAACCGGGGTGATGGTGGCCAGCCTATGCAAATATTATCAACGTTGCCGTAAGCATCGATTTGAGATATCGCGACGGTACGTCAGCGGTACGGGTTCATTCGCAAGTGGAACAGACACGCAGATAATGGCACATAACAGTAAATGTTTAGCGTTACAGCCTAAATGAGGTTTACGATTAGGGAGACAATCTGCCTCGAATTTTTAGAGTATGAAGATCATTCGTTACTATCTGTGCCAACCCTATGACTCGACGCATCTATCGTAGGTACTTTTACTTGAATAATTTTTTCTATACCTAAAGTGTAGAAAGGCACCAGGTAGAAATAGCATAGAGAACGATCGGCCACAAAACCGCCAACGCGGCTTTAACTTTAATTCTAATTAAAAAAAAACATATCATGCGTGTACTAAACATTTTAGTTCATTCATCAAAGGCCAAGTGCATAACAGGATTATCCAGTACCAGGTAAATTATAATTGTCCCTACAGGCCTAGTTAGCTTGTCTCCTTTTGGGCCGCTCTATGATTTGAAGAAGAGAATGAAACCTTCTCTGCATGAGCTGTTCGTTCATAGCTAATGAAAAAATGCATAGCGGTTAAGTTTGGCGAATCCGATTTTATTCAAAGATAACAGTCGTGTTTTAGTGTTAGCAAATCGCTTCTGCATTGTTTAGAGTCTAAGGACGGACCATAAAAAATGCCCCCTTGAGCGCTTTAGGCGATAGACTCCAGCTTGATAACACGCGAACATGGTCCACTTGCATAAAGCTACCTTGGAAGAGGCTTGTCCGTTCTAACAGGCGGTGACCGCCAATGTTGTCGGTGGCAGCCAGATGACTTTATGTATTACGAAAATTTACAGCATCTCCCTTGGAGCCCGAATGGCTTCAATCGATTGGCCGACATAGATCTTGCCGGGCCGCCTAATCACATGGTTGGCTGAGAAAAGCGGCTGCCGACGATACTTTGCTATGCCTTCTTCACTGCGGTCGATCCGGTATCTAACAAAAATATTCGCGCAATTCGTACCTTGTAGCCTAATTGTGTTCTTTACACAGGCATCAATCACGTTAGAGAGCATTATTTGAATTCGTTTTTGAATGTGTATATTTTTTATTGTATATTTTTACTCATTTATAGCTTATATCTCTCACAAATCTTTGCTAGAATCGTTTTACGTACTTTCTGAGTGTGGTCAGCGGCTCCTTGTCGGTTTTTACTCCCGTATCAGGATTTATTGTGATAAGTACACAGCGTACACATCGCTGTAAGAACTCAGTTTCAAGATCTCCAATTTTCATAATAGCCCAATAGTCCTCCTCGAAGGGCATGTTGACATCGAGCAAAATGCTAGGTCGGAAGTTTCGGTACGAAACGTCAGTCGACGGATCGCAAATCAGCTCGTTCAGGTTCTCGACAGATTTTTCTGAAAGAATATTGAGCTCTGCCAAATCGTAAAACCGATCCTGCGAATACAAGCAGAAGGAAACAATTAAATACAATGCAAGAGTTGAATGTAGGCTTACTCGAAGTCTGCGGCATTGTACATAATGTCTGTGATCTATAATAGGTGAATGATTCGGTACTTTCAGCACCGCTACATTCTGGCTCAGTCCGTTTTGATCTATCTCCTCGCGTATAGTAAAGGGATCCTATACGCTCAAAAGTGACACAAACATTGTTTCATACACTGCATGCTTAAGTATTTTGATCTTGCGAAATCTCCTTCACTTGGCGATGTTAATACGGAAGCGTCGATTTGAACTTACGGGTATTTCTTTACGGCGCTTCACAGTTTGCCTGAGGAATCGCACGAACTTGAAATCCTTGCCGAGATATTTACTGAACCACGCTGATGCTTCTGCGATTGGCAGACACTTGTAAGCATGCTCCGGTTTTCTTATGCTGGGAAAGCAGTATTTCACTACGTTTTATATTATGGTTCCTTTTCGTTACCGTGCACCATGTTGGTGGCTCAATTGAGAATAAGTGAAGGCTTGAAATTCATTCATCAAATAGGGTGTTCAGTGAACTTATTTGTAAACGAAAAAAAAAAGTCGCTTAAATGATAGAAATCCTGAAAACAACTATGTGGTCAGCAATACAGCCAGCAGAAGGTTTGTATGGGCAAGTTCATTGATCTCACAAAATGTCGAGTTGGTCGGGCGAATTCCAGTCAACGGTAACTGGCTCCAGCGAAAGCACGAGTGTTCCGGTGGGCACCTGCATTACGTATCAGACTTTTGAATATTAACTTACGTACAAGAAAGTCTTTAACTTCACATATCAAAATACGTAATACTGGCAAGTGTGGAAGCATTTAACAGTAATCGTAAAGCTCAACATGAACATGTCTACATTTTGTGACGCCCGCTATTCGAGTTTACATTTTAATGTCGTACATTAAATTTTTGCAGCTCAAGTGATGGTGGTTGCGGCAAAAACGGCCTTACGTAGATCAAAAACGTGAAACTTTATAGTAGAACATCATAATTCTAGCTAGATTCTTCAGCCAATCACGTTACGGACGCTCTTTTACGGCAAGTTTTAGACATCTAGAACCCTTAGCTATAAAAGACTGCGTATTCCCACCAAATTGTTAATGTATTAATTATTTTTTAGATATTACAGATACAGCGTTTGAAGGGAAACGCTATACGTTATCCTGCTGTGAACATAAAGTTGCTATCTATTTACTTTCTCATTAATTTTTACTAATCTAGTTGATTTGCTCGTTCGTTCGTGTATTTGTGTTTGCCTCACCATAGGATCTTTAGACGTAATCTCAAGGCACTTGGCTTCCTCATTATAATTCACATGTAGAAGAAGTAGTCTGGGCTCTTCGCGCGCCGAGACGGACTTGTTTCCATCCATCGGGTTGATCAACATAAATTCCCTATAGCCCCATTAAGTATGGTACTCGATTTATGTTTTTGAATATGTCAATTTAGTGAACTAGTATTGCAGTACCTAGAAGGACCTTTAGTAGGCCGACCTTTCTTTGTATGTTATATAACGTAGAGTCTTCAAAATGCTAGATTTCCAATCCGATTCCCAAAGCGAAAACGCTTAACCTTTAAAAAAGAAATACATGGAATACTAAAAAAGGTAATTTTATTCCAAATATAACAGACCGAAGTAGTCTCTTATTGCTAGTTCCAATGGGAGGTAGGAGTACACGTCATGGATTCGTGTAGTCTGTGCGAACATTTTATTAATCTAGGAGAATTTAGCGCATGCTCGGTACCGCCCGTATGTGTAAACTTTTCAAAGATAACTGGGAAACTTTTCGGGCCGAAGCACTCTACAGACACCTGTGCTAACGGCGGTTGACGCCAGATAAATCTAATACAACGTCTTAAATAACTAAAACAATACAAATATTACCTGTCTCGAAGGTCTTTATAAGTCATGCCGTGGACTGTTACATAGGCTCGGGTCAACTCTATTGGTGGCAGAGATTTTATCGGGTAAATAAAAAGTCTTTTTACCTGCGAAAAACGTAGAAGATCACGACAGTAAACAACTTCCGCTATCTAGGAATAGCTAAAGATTTTAAAAACTCTATAAAAGCAAGTCGATGTTAACGAGTTGCGTACGACTGCTACAGAGCTATCTGGTATAATTTAGTGGACAAAAATTGCAAAAGTGTATAGCGGGTTTCTCTAGATTTCGCAGTGTATGTTTCCGTTAGTTACCTATAGAACGAACCCCTACCAAATAAGTTCTAATCTTGAAACAATATATATGAAGCTTTCACAGCGAAGGGAGACCCCTCTTTTAACCTATTTAAAGACGAGGCAGGTATTTGTGAAAGCTTGCTAGAGTACTTAGAAGTATTTTGCTAATGCCGAAACTAACCGTCCCTAATTTCTTGAATTTGGCACGGTTAACGACATGTTGATAGACCGCGTACGAGGCAGCGACTGTTGCGACAGTTCCAAGTCCAATCACCACGGCCGAGGACGGTATCGAGGCACTCAGCTTTGGGACCATCTTTCTCTGCATCAACACGCGACAAGTTTCGAGCAGTAAGTTGTAGTGAGTAAACGCAGAGCTATTAAATACACTTACCCGTATTTTTTAGTGTTCCACATTAGCACTCCTCTCACTTCAAAGAAGTACATATTAATCCGTCTACACGAAGCCAAATACAAAACAGCAGCGAAAGTCATCGAACTGTCCCACCATTGAACCACATCTGAGTTCGATGCTAATCAAGAAAAAAAACTGTAAATTTTAGCAAAAAAACAACCAAATTTAGCTATGTATAAACGTGCACGAAAGCGTTCGAGTGGACTTCCTGTAGACTCGTTCCGATTTGTACGTATATCGAAATTAGAAGTACCAAATTAATAAAAATTAGATAAAGCACGGGGATTGAAAGAGGGCTATTATTTGAATGACGTGCACCCTTCACCAACAGCAAACCCGACCGAGCTTACAGGCTGTAATCGGCGTCCTCGCTATCGCCCACGTCGCGATTCGTGTGTGCAATACGTAACAAAACGGATTTACGTTGCGTCTCTTCACAGCTCCGCTGCCAGCCTAAACGAGATATGGAAAGGATGCTATACGAAACTTTCCCTGTTAACATGTGAGTCTATAGATGGTAGCCTCCGAACAGCTCCGTAATCAGCGGACACACGGACGAACTGGACTAGTTGTGTGAACTAACACAGGCCCTGAAAATAGGCAATGCTGCCCTTTCGTGCCGAGACGCAGATACCGTATGAAAGCGTAGATTGTTTATGTGCTTGAAAAATATAGAAAGCTCTCTTATCGTGAATGCGCGCCTTCGTAATTAACCCCACTATGACCGATTTACAATACCTGCAATAACTTGAAACACTTTTACAGGGCTAAAGGGATTTAATAGAAACCTACTCTAGATTAGGTGCTACACTATTATGTACAGTGCACGATAATTTGGTATCGGTGAAGACCGGTGGGGTGAACGCATTTGATTAATCTCTCCACGATTTTACGCAACGTACGCGTCTTCTTCTCGTGCAAGAATGGATTGCCCGGCATGAATCTTCACATTCAGGTAACTCAATAGCCCGGATCAGAAACGACTGACCTGTTAAGTGTTTTTCAACGCGTTGCTGCCAGGTTCATAGGGACGCCGATAGTATCACGCTGTTAACTAAAGGACAATCTCAGGATGACTAGTTTTAGTATCTTTTGTCTGCTTATGCAAACAACAGTTACTGCAATGAAGATCTCGAATCGGTCCTATATCAGTTCCAATGTAATCACTATAGATAGGCTGACATTTAGCTTCGCGGAATAATTAACATTCTGGGGGCTCACCTAAGGTAACTATCTCACTTCATGTCAATAGGTTGACAAACGTACAAGGATATTTTGCTTTATTTTATACATAAACTTGAGAAAAGTAAATGCATTCTGTAATAGGAATAATAAAAAAAAGATATTTATTGAATTGCGACTAACTGGGAAATGCCCACAAAGAACACTGGCTGATTCGTATCTCATGGCAACACACAAACCATTTTCTTTCATTCGAAAAGCAGCTACATGTTAATTAGCGTATAATAAATGGCAAGAATGTATATAAAGACAGAAAAAAAAAAACAGCATTTGATGATTGACCAAGAACAAGCGAGCTGATTATTTCAAAACACGAAACGTTTCGTTGCATCAATAACAACGTTTTTAAATGCAGAGATTTCTATCGTTCTCGAAATTACTTAATCTATAATATCGCATCATAAGAACTTTTTTGGTCACCTAAGGGACGTCTATTTAGACGGGCAGTTCACCTTATTATACCTGGTGTGTACGATAGGACGCTGGGCTGGGTAATATATCGAGAATGTTTCATTTGGGTAATTCAATCGGGTGGGACCTTCGTCTTCAAATGAGAGTGTCCATTAAGGTTTACCGAACTCCCATACGGTATTTTCCATACTTTATAGGTACAGCGTTCTTCAAGCCACCACAAAATATTTACGTTAACGTAGGCAATAGATGTATAGTTAGTCGAACACTCAGTCCCGAACGCCGAATATAACATGTCTGTAAATCCTGTAAATCTTTTTGACCGTTTTACGTTAGAATCAATGAAAATATGAAACATATTAGAATTTTTCTATTATTTCTAACGACTGCCTACACTAATAACCGCATTCATAGTATAATAGGCCCGAAAGAAAAACCATTGCTGGCAATCAACTATTACATAGCCGCAAGAGATGTTCTATCACCTGCATCGTATATTTGGCCTCCGGCGCACGGGAAAATTTAAACTAATAATTTATTCCGATCAAGAACATCAGAGTGAAGTCATCTATTTGTCTAGTGGTCACTCAGATGAGTGACGCTATGAATCTAAAGCAACAAATACCACTGTATCATGTATTCAACTATTTGTTATAGCTTCTCCAACTCACATATTGTGGATGAAGTTCTCTCGGATGAATTCGAAGCGAGCTGTGTTGTTACGAACGCCGCTCAGCCAAAAAAAGAAGGCCTCAGCTGGCGGACAGTTTGAAGAGGAGAGAGCAAAATTGGGTCCAAGTTGTTGTCTTCCTGCCCAGCCGCCCATTCCATCTTAGTTCTCTAGTTGTTGTTGCCAGTCGTTCTAGCGCGGCCACCCCGCCTCCGTCGGCCTCTCGCTACACAACAGTGCCCAATTCGTAACGGATGTATCAAATGCTAAAGAAAGCACGAACGGCCTATGCATGTTTGTGCTTATGCATGTACAGACAGACCGACTGGTGAAAGGTGTACAGAAAAGGCATGGATATGAGCTAGGTACATCTGTGGGCACTTTGTGAAATGCGAGAGATGCGTGTGCTTCGCGCATTTACTGCGATGACCGATGCGTTCGGTGTTTAAAGTGCAAAGAAAGAAGAAGAAACTGTTGAAACAGTTGTTTGCCCCTTATGTAAAGCACATATTTACATAGAGACGATACAATTCATATATATATATATATATAGAGGCATTGTAGACTCGAACAAAGAAAACATTATAAATAGTAAATGTTTTCTAGATGGTTTAGTCTGTTCACTCGTTTCTACGTTGTTGTTAAGCTAGTTTATAGCTAGATTGTTTTCCTGCTAAGCCATTGAGTTTTATCAATATAAACGTTTGTTGCACGCTGGCCACTCATCGAGCAGAGCGAGAGGTTATTAAAGACAAAATTACAAAACCCGGCTCGACGCTTTAACATTAACCCAGAACGTTGCGGTACTATCCATACCGTACAAAGCTACCCGCCATTACGTCAGACACTAATTACTTATTTACCTAATCGACAATACCTCCACAACGCTTCGGCGCCCCGATTCAATTGCGGTCATTTAAAGATATCACGTCTGAGTGAAGTTGAGATAGCATTAAAGATCGTCTCCCGTCAAACCTAAATGGCGCTCAAGCTTACGTTATGATTATGGTGGTAATTGATTTTCTGCGCAAGTGTTAAGTGGTTTGCCACAATGGAGAACGATTCACTCGACGCTATATAGACAGCAGGATAAGGGACAGGCGGACAGCGACGGCGACAAGCGGGACGAACCAAGATTTAAATCAAGTTGTCGTTGACGTTTACGTAGCGGTTGATTCAGCAGGCCGACAGGCATCATTAGATGAGACAGCTGCTTTAGGCACACACCTTCTCTCTGTTTCTCTCTAAACGACAAAGTAACTCTTTAACTCCCAGGAGGTGACGTCGAGGATCGTTAGCGTGGTCCGAGCCGTATGATACCTCGGAAACGCTATACAAATGCAGATCACCCAAGCGGAACGCCAAAGAGAAATACGGGTAAAAGAAACGTGTCGGAAGAGTAAACGCCGAGGACCTCGAGCGTCGCCGCCATTACCACGACGACGACGACGATGACGATGTGAAGTTAAAAATTGAATGAATAAATGTAACAGGCCAGTTCTCAAGAGGAAAATCCTTTGAGAACCGAAAAAGAGACCACGTTAGATTAAACAACTTGTTCTTGCATTTACAGGCTTATTAATACCTGCATACTATTATAGTGTATAAACACCAAATAATTATCCGTCTACATATAACTGTAGCTTTGTGACGGTTGTTTCTAATCAATGGCTCGGATTCAACTTGATATTGGGAATGAACTTCATTGGGAATTAATTGAAAGATGCAAAGCATTTAGACGGGTAATAAATGGGGAAAGTTTTTAACGAATCAAACTGATCCTTAAATCTATATTTACTGTTAAAGTTGCTTTTATTCGTACCTATCTTGTATGTTTTTTACTCATAACAATATCTCTCTAAATGGTTATTTTTATATTATATATATATATATATATATATACTATGCTAGACTCACTTATTATAATGTACATATAATCCAAACCTAACGATTGATTATTTAAGCATATCGCTGACAGAGGCTTCGTATCGCCGAGATTGTTCTCGACAATGCAATACTTGTTAGAAAAAAACTGGTCGTCTTCCATGTTATTGTCAGTTTTATGAACCCCTAAAATCTGTGAGCGTGATGTATTTTACGGAACGTAGCATGCGATGGCTTGAATCGTTTAACGACTCACGACGTTCGAAGCCTCTAGCCGCATTAAGAATCAAGTATTGTAGTCTACATATATAGACGCGTTCAATATTCAATCTTCAGTAAAGTAAAATGTTCCCATAACTAGGTTTCGGACTTAGGCAAGGCGTCCAATCTCTCAATCCTTTAAGTTGATTTCCTATTCAATCTTGTCAGTTCTTATGGTAGTTATTACAGGGAACATTAGAGGACACGAACTCATTCTGTCCTAATTTCTTTTCTATTTCTTACTCCTATCCTTGACTCTGCGACCACTCAAATCTGTCGAGTGGATGCTGTCAGATGGCACGCGCCTCGCACGCGACGGGCCTTGCTCACGTGCAATACCAAAGGAGAAAGAACGACTCATGAGACGCGCCGGATTGTAGAAGCGCCGGCTTGAACAACGTGCGAGATGACATCCTAATTTACAAGTGCACGATACAATTACAGAGGTGTGCTTAATATGCCGCCATAACGCTATAAGTAGACAGACGGTTCTGGAAGGTAAACCCTCGCTTTAGTAGTAGGCGTTTGTGGTCAGAAGTAAATTTATTCAATGCTTATCACTTTGCAAAGTTCACTTTATGGGCTTTTAATGAGTTTCCGATTGCCAGTTAACACAGTAATCGTAAAGAAATAGAGATTTTAAATTTACTAGAAAGCACCTTCTTCTGCAATAATAGAAAAGGAGAAATGGATATATGCCAACCGCGTGAATAGCACGAGGCCAACTAACGTAATTTTTTTTGTATCGGGTAACGTCTATTGTTCACATAACGTTATCTATTAAAAGCCATCTTTATTCTGCTATTCCACCACCTTGGGCAGGTCGACAGGGTGCTACTGCACAAAAATGGCGCAGCGGGTGCTTTCAACACAGACAAGAATAACGCACCGTGAAATAATGGGCGATCTTTAATTATCGCAGCGAATCACACGATGCGAGACATCAAATGATAGAACTTGCGCTCCGGGGGACGGTTGCCCGCTGCTGGTCACACGTCGCCTGAGCCAAGCAGGAACTGTGTCTCACTTTCTTTTAGACAGTAAGAAACACGTTTTCTCAATACACATCAGTTCATATAATATCAATTACTAGTCATAGGCTCCGTGGGGCCTTCTGAACCACGTCGAA